TTGATGTGATAGAAAAGCAAACATGAGAGTGGCCGAGACAAATAAACATAAAACTTAAAAGCAACAACATTGTTTTAAGAAATTTGGCATTCGATAACCTCAGAAAATCATCATATACTTAAGCAATAGAATTGTTTCATTAAGTTAAGGCAATAATATTACGTATAAAGTAATAAATTCGGATAGAGTATTAGATTACAGAACGGAGAATTGGAGAAATGAAGAATTAGATAGAGATAGTACCTCTGACACTGTGGTAGTGAAAGTATAGTGGCGATGTAATTTGGAGGTTTCCTAGTTTCGGCGAAGAGTCGGGCACTATATTATCGCAGGGCGTTAAAATCTTGCGCAGAAGATAATAATTGAAACTGGAAGAGTTATTTTTTTTGGGGAAAAGGGCCAAAAATGACACTAAAGTTTTTAATGAAGTTCGGATTGGACACTAAAGTTTTAAGTAGACCAAATAAACACAAAATTAAACCTTTTGGATCCATTTCAGCCACTCTCCTTAACTGCTCCGTTATTTTTTCCATTCGATGCCGCTAGAAATCAGAACAAGATCCATATGCCTCTTCTTCTCCCAAGTGCAGCAAACGGCACTCATCCTTTGCTGTGAACAGAAACACCTACTTCAAATCAAAATCAGCAGCATAAATATAGGTGGAGCTCCTTCTTCGACGGGCACATGGGTAACATGAGAAATTCGATGCTACCTTCCTTGAAATATTTGTCTGCTGCTCAACAAAGAAATTAAAATCTGGCCGAAGAAAATCGATATCAAGTTCAGCTTCCAATAGAATCAGCAACGCCTCAGCCTTTGATACAGAATCGGAGAACGAGCAGCTCCAACAATTGACGCTAGCAACAAAAAGTCAGCACCAACATCTTCTCCAATGCCATTACCGACGGGACAAGTGATGTACAACTTCGGAAGCATCTCACCAATTAGCTTTATCTTCTGGCAAACGAGCAAAGCAACTGGCAATGGAGATGAAGACTCCTCTGAATTTCAGCTGCCGGTTTCTTTCTCTCCCACAAACGGCACCATCCGTCCGGAAAAGAAACAGGGGCATCAGCCCACTTCTCTTCACCACAAACCAGCATAGCCTCGGCATCTGACGACGCAGCAAACGAACACCAACATCTGCAGATAATACCAACATCGCTGTTGCTCATCATCGGAAGAATATTGCCGCATACCATCATCAGAAATTGATCTCAAGAGCAGCTCTAAGATTTTTCATCCTCCCAGATGAACTTAGTTTTCAAAAATTGGGGGCTGCGTTGTTTAACGACAGGGAAGGGGTCATCTAACGTAGCTGTTAGAGCATCTCCAACCCTAGGGTGCATTGGAGGTGATGTGTAAATGAAATGAAGTGGGTCTAGAGCAAATAGAGAAAGTCTATTTGGAGTGTACTCCAATGCAGAAAGGGAAAAACAAAAAAAAAATAAATGAAAAATTAATAAAAGAAGAAGGGAAAGCTACATACCTGCGTTGCTTCCTTAGCTGGAATGTCAGAAGGTGGCACCGAAGGTCTATTTGTGGACCTGGTGCTGGACCTTCTCCCTTGCCAACTCAGATTTTGAAGGTCCATTGGCATTGACATTGGAGAGTACATTTTACAACAAAATGTGCATTTGCTGACATGGAACTCCAATGCACCCTTGCATTGGAGATGCTCTTAAAGGGTGGCTGAAATGGATCCAAAAAGTTTAATTTTGTGTTTATTTGGTCTACTTAAAACTTTAGTGTCCAATCTGAACTTCATTTAAAACCTTAGTGTCATTTTTGGCCCTTTTCCCTTTTTTTGGGAGATGAATTTGTGCCCTTTCATGAACCGAGCACATCAACTTTAATATTAGAAGCCACGTGGCATCAGAATATGAAAGGAGGAAAAACAGGACTGAGCAACACGTATGCATATGTAGGGGCAAAATGGTATTTGGTAGAGCTATTTGTTTTATTATATATAAATAGAATAGAATAGAATAGATGCGGGCAATTTTTTCATTGTTATATTAATAATAATTAACTGAATTCTTTTGGATCTCCCACATTTCGGGCATTGTGCAGTTGGAGTCCCTTCACTTGCTCTGATCCGACTCTGTTGCAAGTTGCAACTATAATAAAAATAGATGAACTAAAATATTAGGAGCTTACTTATATTGTAAGTTGTTTGATTAACGATTTACTTATATAAAGTTGAGCATTTTACTTTCAGAAAAAGTATTAGGAGCTCGTTTGATAAATTTTACTCAGCTTTCTGTTTATCACTCTACCAATTTTTTTACCACAACAACATCCAAGCTTAATTCGCAAAAATCTTTGGGGTCGGCTAACATGAACATATTAGAGTTAGAAGGAGAAGAAAGGTAAGAAAAATAAAAAGATAAAGTAAAATAAAATGGATATGATAAAGGTAAATATAAGATTAAAATAATGCTAAAGGGTCAAATAGGCCCTCGAACTAACTTAAAAAGTTCAATTCACCCCTTATATAGGAGGCTCTGTCCGGCCGTCACCAATCGGGGCGGTTCCCGGTGGAATTTTTTGATGAATTTTTTTAGCATCTTATTCATTAAGTCTAGTTTATTCATACCAAATTTCAGATAAAAATTCAACCAGGAAGACATTCAAATGATTTTCTGAAATGTACTGCGTTGTTTAACTACACATTATCTTCAAAAATTCATTTGACTGCCTTCCACTAGACTTAATAAAGAAGATGCTCAAAAAAATTCATCAAAAATTTCCACCGGGAACCACTCCAATTGACAACGGCCGGACAGAGATTCCCATATAAGGGGTGCATTGCACCTTTTAAGTTAGTTCGAGACTTCGATGGCCTATTTGACACTTTAGCCTAAAAATAATATAAGAACATAAGAAAGATGAAAGATAAAAAGATAAGAGTATAAGAAATGTAAAAATATCATAAATATACAGATAGATAAAGAAGAAGAAAAAGATAAAAAATTAGTACTCATTTGGAGATGCGGGGCATCGATCCCCATACCTCTTGCATGCTAAGCGAGCGCTCTACCATCTGAGCTACATTCCCTTTTTACCATTTTTTTACTAAATGAATTTATTTTCGTTTGTGTGATGAAATTGTACAATAGCTAAATATGTGGTTTGTTTTGCAGCTTTTGCTGCCTGGATTGGCTAAAATCTCTATGTGAACTATCTCTGGTATTTTTCATTTGATTTTTCTAAATTTTGTTTATAAAATGCATTTTAATTAACTTTTTCATAATTCAAGTAATTCAATTGTTTCCGCCATAATTTTCACCAAGTTTTGCCCCAACTTAAATTCATATTCTACCCAATTGGGCCTATTATCTTCATTGTTATTCACTCATTCCAATCAGGTGAGATAAGTCATAATAATTAGTATTTGTGGCACGTCTATTACTCTGTTGCTATTTTTTTAACTATTCTTATTAGGGGTTGGCAAACGGAACTGGAACTATATCAAATCGAATCAAAATCTAATCATATGTAATTTAATTTAAATTTAGTATCATTTCTTCCAAACCGTATTAAACTTAACTGGATTGAAATCGAGAAAAACAAAATAAAACCAAACCAAAATTTAAAAACCAATAAAATATTCATATATTATTAAAAATAGTAAATCCAACCCAATCCAAATCGAACATAACCGAACCGAAACATAGTATGATTTTTATTTCGTAATCATACTTTCAATCCATTGACAACCGAACTAAATTGAAAACCGATAAAAATATAACCAAAATCTATATATCCACCCTAATTCTTTTACTCAATTAATAGGATGACATTCATCCTAATAAAACTATTACGCTAAAATAATGATAAACGGAAGTTTTATCACCATATTTTATGTACTCAGTATTATTATTAAGAGTTACTATATCACTATATATTTCACCACATTCAATTATTTCAAACATAGGTTGGACATGAAAGGAATGGAGCTTTGCCATACCGGTTACGAGTTCAACTTTTGGGAGTAGCACCTTGTCAAAATGACAATGTAAAGTTTATTCCGTACGCATGCCTGTCGTGAGAGTGTGAGACCCTTCTCCGGACCAGCCTTGCATATGTAAAGTATTGAAAAAATGATTAAAACAGATCATCATGTCACCCAGTACCGCAAAGGCTCTTACCTATGATGGGGCAGGATGCACGCAGCCTTACCCCTATACTAAAGTACATCGAGATTGTTTCTGGATAACTCATAGTAAAAATCGCGTAAAAAATTACATAGACTAACTGTTGCTTCATAACAAAGAAGCACACAGAGTTTAGTTGGTTATTTTACTTTATTCCATCAATCCATCATATTCTCAAGCCAAGAAATACTGAGTTTTTGGCTACAATGCAAATGACTAAAATAGATACTTAGAAAAAATAGATTTGTTTAAAAAATTTATAGTAGTATGCAATATTGTAACAATGGAAATATCATACAATCATTAAATGTACTAAATTTTCATAAAAATTGGACATAAATAAAAAGTTATAACAATTTAAGAAACGGCATGCCATATGCAGGTAGGAAGGAGCGATGTTCACCCTCCTTAGAGGGGGAACAAAATTGAACTGCTTTATGATCCTCATATACCATCAGTACAATTTACAAAATTGAACTGCTTTATGATCCTCATATACCATCAGTACAATTTTTTAGAGGGTTGCACACCCAATAGATTGAAAAGAGTAAATTACCACTTTTCATCCATAGAATTACAACAAGCCAAAACATAAACACTACTACTATATTTCGAGGCAGGAATCAGAGGTGCTTCCATGCCTTGTTGGTCCAATACAATTTTTTTAAGAAGTCCGATATTTGAGTGCACAACACCTTTAATTTTTAAATTATAGGTCCGATATAATTTATTTCTTATCTGCTTTTGTTTTATAGCGGTGAACATGTCCACAGAAGTGAAGAGTAATGATGGGTCTTGGGGTTCCATAAGAGAAGCATGCCCTGCTCTATAGAATTGTAGAGATTTATAATGCTATAGCCACTCACTTTACATTAAAATTAACAGTGTATTAGTGTATATATGAACAGCATACAATTTAACAGTTTGCAATAGCCACTCATTACTGCTTTTCTCTCAAAAATCGACATACAAATGAAACCAAAACAGAAAACCAAATGGAATAGTCCAAACTATCCCAAGAGCCCTCAGACAAGGCACACCAAAACAAAAAAGAATAAAAAATTAAAGAAAAAGGAACAAATAATTATGTAACTAGCGACTTGCTAGCATGTAATAGAAGAAAAAAAATCAAAACCCAATTCATCATTCTTCCTTTTCCCAGAAAGATTGGTTCACACTTTCTCATTCCTTATCAGAATCACCTGATCTTGTACCCAGTTTTTAGGAGTCTGCATCTCCTTAACTTGAATCGTCATGTTTAGGAGCTTCTTGATCAACCTTTTCAACAGATGTAATGAAGTTTGAATCTTTTGAGTTAACTTCACAATCCAGCTTTTCGGGTACATTGCATGATATTTCTTCAGATAAGTTCCCTTCAGTATCCAGTTCAACTTTACTAGCCAATCTATCTTGAGAACATGGGATTTCATTATGTATTAATGTTAAATGTTCATGCAGTATCACATTCCTCGGGCTCCCAGAATCGACAGGCGCCTTCTTGTTATTAATATCAGAATGAGTGGACTGATCAAGAAGGTCGTGTCTTTCACGTTCTTCGTGATCTATCTGCTTAAATGGTGAATCGATATGAAAATGATTATCAAGAAGATCATATTTTTCATTTTCTTGAGGCAACTCAGGTAGCTCAAGAGCCCCTTTGTTTTCATAACTGGATTCTAGATCTTTCAGTGAGCTTGCTTCTTCAACTAGAGTCACTCCCAGGTTGATGTCTTCTGTACTTGAATTTTGGTTCGATGGAGAAGGTCCGAGAACTGGAAATGTCTTTTCATGAACAAAATTGGAGTCTTCTTTTTCTTCGTGTATTTCTTTTTCTTCAAGAAAACTCGGGCTGACAGAGCAGATATTGTGTAGAATGGATAGACTTTCAAACTCATTGGAGAAGCTTGTAGCAACCGGTTCATTGAAGCTGAAATCACCAACAGCATCTAATTCGGATAATATCCCCTCATCGATTTCCTTGATGCCATCTGTTTCGTCATCTACGTGTTGCATGTTTTCATGGAAATCAATTGCTTCCATGAAAAACTTATGGGGTGATAAGACATCAATGTGGTCATCATTTTCAAGTTCATTAAAAGATCTCTCTTTTGTGTCTGTTTGACCATCATCAGCCGTGTGGAGCATTTGATTAAACGCAGGAGATGGTGGAGAATGAGCCTCGCTGTCATCATCTCTCGTTTCTAACACATTTGAATCACTTGCCTTCTTAGGTGATTCCATCAAAATAAGCGGTGTCTCCTGCTTTTATCAGAAGAAGGTAAGATAACTAAGATTTCTACACACAAGAACTATTGCTTCATAACTTTTCCATATATGTGCGTTGACTATTGTTTAGTGGTTTTACTTAATATGTTTAGTGCATTGACTGAGCATCACACCAAGAAAGAAAAAAGATCCTGATCAGGCAAGTGAAGGCATCTGAATCTCTAGCTAATTCACACCCTACCTACAAATTATGTTCATTACTGTCTAAAGTGGTTAAGTCATCCCACATCAAACAAGTACATAAGTGAAAATTTCTTAAATCGAACTAAAACATAACACATCTTTTCAAATAGAACCGACATTGTTTTTTCCCCAAAATAGTCTCGTTCACTCCTAAAATAATTAGCTTCTTCTATTCTTTTATTAGGACTAAAAAGTCATGTTTTAGGAATAAAACATAATTAATCCTATATGTAAACTTTTCCATTTTTACTCATTTTGAACCAATTCCTTATTACAAGATCATTATTTCTTATAAAGTCTTAGGCTACCTCTCTGAATTTGGGGTTTTATCTGCCAACTTATAATATGGTACTAGAGTTTGACAATTTGTTAAGACCTAACGAATAATTTGATTTTACTAAGCCTCAACAACGAGCACAAAGACTTGCAAGATCCATTGAATCAAAGTGTCATGTTGAATGAAAAAAATTATAAGTATGCAATCAAACGTAGATAACGCATTATCATCTATACTCCTCGTCCTCTTTTCATATTATTGGTTTGACTAGGCACAGACTTTTGATCACTTTTTAATAATGCAATTGAGGTTGAGTGGACACGGTACAAAATTGTCGGCTATGCAGAGATAGAATTTATATTTCCTACAAAAAATTATATCATACAAAAAATTTAGGCTATGAATGGATAGAAACATGAAGATTATTATCAACCACAAATAAACGAATTAAAAGAATCTACATAAATAACATACTCCGTAGAAATCTTCATAAAGTAGCAAAAGGTAGAAGAAATAAGATATATCTATTGTAACATCACCAACCTGCACTTCAGTCTGGTCTTTGGAATCCAACAATCTCAATTCATCATCAGACTGAAGAAATGACATTGCTGCAGCAGCACATTTATATCCGGGAGAGTTTGGCTGGGAGCATGTATTAGCTAAGATTTCTTCACTGATTGGAGTAGGCTTTTCCATTTCCTTAATTTCCTTCACTTGATCATCTGAAGCAATGGATGATGAAGATATTTTTTCTGCTCGAGTTGGACTTAGATCATATATAGGCTCCCTGTATTGATGATTCTCATCCACATCTGCCCCTCCTAATGAAGTTTCTGGCTGTGAATGAATTTCAGTTGCAATGAGATCCAAAGTTTCAGAAGCACATCCTTCATGGGCCGGACTTGGTCCCACTTCCAGACCATTCTCTTCACTTTTCCATGACATACCATCGGTCTCATCAGCCAAATTCTGGACTTCTGAATCAATAGCTGAATCGTTTGACTCAGTTTCAGGAATAGAACTAACTTTTGACTCACTAAGCTCACTTGGTTGTCTTTGAAACCGTGGATAGCTTGCTCCTTCCGAGTGCGTATCTTGTATAATTGGAACGAATAATGATGGGCGTACACTAAAGAATGGATCTTTGGCAGTCTTGAACTCTTGTTGGAAACTGTCTTCCATTAGATCAGGCTTTTCTTCACTCGAGTCATAAGGGATATCAAACGGGTTGGTCCTGGAAAGCAAAACGGATGGGGCAGACCCTGGAATGGGTGGTAGTCCTATATCATCAGCAGCAAGATCAAACGGATTTTTTTTGGGAATTGAAATGGGGGAAATGTTGAATGGGATAAGATCACAAACACTTTCGAAATCAATCAAATTCTTCTCAACCATTGTACTCCTTCTGTTCATCCTAGCTCTTCTACGGGCAATGAGGCTTTCCAGCCGTTGATTCCTCTCAATCTCTGAGCTTCCAAGATCCATCAGATTCTTCTCATCCTCCTCCGTCCATATAATCATTCTAGATTTGGTTTCTGCTTGTTCTTTGCGGATTTTCTCTTCTACTTCCTGGTTTTCATACCCGTCGTCTGATTCTGAATCTAAATCATTAACGGGTTGCGGGTTGTTCTCGTCTTCATCCAGAAGAGGATGGAGTTCATCAAGGATCGGGATGATGTCAGCCATTGAAGCATCTGGGGAAGAACTCTCTGCTCCATCCGAACCGGAATCTGAAGTCTCGTCATCATAATCAGCATCCTCTTCTTGCTCCTCTTGTTTTGAATCAACCATCGCCATTTTAGGGTCTTTTTCATCAAATTTAAGATTCCTATCGTCATCTATATTAGGAACCTGAGAGAATCGATGGTGTTCAAAATCCTCCCTATCTATAAGAGGGGAACCAATGTTCACCATCTTAGAGTCATTTGAGTCCGCAGATTTTTTATCAAAATCAAGATTGTGTTCATCCATATTATTATCACAGGAATATGAGGGTTTCTCATAATCAGAATCAAGACTCTCATCATCCATATTAGGAATTGGAGTGTACTTATGCTCTGAAATTTTCCCATCATACAACTCAATACCCCGGGTTTGGTTTTCAACCTTACCACAAAATGGATCATCAAGTAACTGATCTAATATATTCTTATTCTCCTTGAACTGTTCAACAGAATAATAGCTCTCATCCTTCTCAAGAACAGTGGAATTTGACAAAACCCCAGTTTTTAGAGATACTATATGATCATGAACTGTTTTGCCTCCTTCTTCCTTTTCAACCTCAGGTATGTTTGGATTGCCAAAATTCAATAAAGTTCCAAGGAGAACGGCAGTGCAGATAAGAACAGGAGATACAGACACCAACACAGAAAACACCAAAGGGAATGATCTGTACAGTAACGCCAAAAAACAAAACAACCCCACTAGGAATGGATGGCTGGAAACAATTTTATAACATGTTTTGATGGAAAAGATTAGAACTTTCCTCATTTCAACTGCAACATCTGGCAGCTGAACACCCATTTCTTCTTCTTGTCCTCTTTTTCCAGCTCTACCCCACTTTATTTATTAAACAAAATCTGGGAGAATGGGCAATTAAAGAAACAACCCAATCTCTGTTAGATCAAGTCAGACAAAGGAAACAAGCAAAAACACAACGAACTAATTGAAAGAGATGATGACGATTATTGGACAGTACCTGAGAAAACAAAAACTGATCTTTTCCCCACTTTTAGCGGCTCTCAGTCTCAAGATACCTCTTAACTTCCTGCAAAGGGTTAAATCTTTTATGCTGAAATAGAGAGGATTGGATTGTGTGAAGAAGGAAGCAATGGAAGAGAAAGGTGTGGTTAGAAGAAAAGAACAATGGTGGGAAAGAAAGAAAAGAAAAAAGAAAAAAGTCGGTCCCATTCCTTTCTTTTTCGCTGAGAGTCCTTTTTCTTTTGCAAGTCTGTGCGCAGTGCTACAGCTTGACCAAGTCCCTTACAGTCATTTCACACTGAGAATTTAGCACTGTAGCACATGCATGGTTGGCCATTTTGGTGATCTATTATGCTCTGTCGTTTGCATGCTCTATATTCCAGGAAGGCTCCCCAAAATAAGCGTTCTGCATTTTTTTTTAGAAAAATGGGAAGTGTACATGTTTTTCATTTTTTGGCTGTAATTTTTTTCTCATCACTCAAAACTTTATCATGTTTGATCGGTACAGAAAATAAATAAAGTAAAAATTGTGCAGTGACATTTTGTATGGAGAAGAGACAAATAATAGAAACCATAAATTGATAGATTAAAAATAAAGTGGTAAAATTTTTATAATAAAAAAATGAAATGTGACAAAGTTTTAAATGGGACGGAGAAAGTATTAAATGCCTATAAATAATTTTTTTAACACCCTCATCCATCCATCAGTCCATTGGATGTCCAACCACAAGCTTTCACACGCCAGAGGGCAATGTCTACCTGCAGAATGTTGAACTTCTCTCTCTTATACTCCCTCCGTCCCTAATAACTTTGCCAAGTTTGACCGGCACGGGGATTAATAAAGTAAAAACTGTGTGGTTGAGGTTTGTGCAGAGGAGAGAGAATTAACTAGAACCACAAATTCTTTACTTAAATGGGAAAGTGGCAAAGTTAATGGGACATCCAAAAAAGGAAAGTCGGCAAAGTTATAAGGGACGGAGGGAGTATTAATTTAATATATATATATATAATTTAGTAATGCTACTTTGCTTTAATTTTATTTATGCTTTTATTTCTTTCTCTACGAGCTTTTACCATATTTATTTTAATTAATTCATCTTGAGAACTTCTACAAAGGGAAACGTAAGAAAGATTACATGAGATATAGATCGGGATCCTCGGCCGCACGACAGAGTCCATTGTGCATCGGACGGCCGAGTAGCGGCGAGGACGGCCTCGAGATTGACAAAAGAGTGGATCCCAAAATCTCCGGTCATTGAATTTTCGATTGGACGGCTGTGAAGAAGCAAGGCAGAGGCTCCGGATCCACCATATACAAAGTTTATGGATATACGTAGTATTATGTTTGAAGAATTAGCTCAAAAGATACTTTTGTGAGATTTTTATAATTATTGGTTGTTGATGACAGAAAAGATTTTAAAAGAAGAAAGTTGTAACCGTTTGAAAAACCATCTATTATTTGAATTAGTTCTGTATGATATCACAAACCGTTGTGACTAATTAATACTATCGTACTAACAGCTACAAACTTTCTATCAAATAGATACTCCCTCCGTCCCCGAAATAACTTCCCGATTTGACTTACACACATAGTAAGGAAATAAATTTACTAGGGGTAAATTTTATTGTTTTGACACGGTTTTGCAGTATTTTGATGTAGATAATTTGTCATTTAAGGAAATGAGGAGTTAAATTAGGGACATCCAAATAAGGAAGGTGAAAAATTGTTTAGAGGGAGGGGTAGTATAAAAGATAAAAGGTAGTGAATGTGACTTATACCGACCAAGTACCAGACAATAGGCAAACATGTACTATATGTGAATCTAAGGTTGTGACTAAAGTTTCAAGTGAATAACATAACTAGGAATCTAACGTTTTTTTAGACACTCAATGTTACTAATGTCATTTTTATATACTCAAGGTTTCTATTCTTTCTCTGTTTCCTTCTTTTTTGAAATAAATACTCCGTAATAATTATATATGTCCAATTTTGATACTTAAGTGACCATCCCACAATACTATAAATAGGTTTTATTTCAGTAACTTTTTGTTTAAAAAAAGGGGTGTGAGATGAACACCCCAAACTTGCATATGCAATTTAAATACCCCAAACTTTATATAAAAAGTTATTTTAACACCATATATAGTCAAGTATTATTTCTTCAAAAATGTAAATTTATGATGTTAATTGCATAATTAAAATATTTTAGAATTTATGAAGACACAATTAACATTCTAAACTTCCATTGCGAAATAAATAATGTTACACCCAATCTATATAATTGCAACACTTTTAATTTTCTATTTTAAATTATGCAATTAACTCATAAAGTTACATTTTTGAAAGAAATAATACATGAAAATGGTACGAAAATAACTTTTTATATAAAGTTTGGGGTATTTAAAATACATATGCAAGTTTGGGGTGCTTACCTCACACCCCTTCAAAGTTTGGGGTATTTTTATTACTTTTCCCTTAAAAAAAACTTCTTCTTTGACTCATTTTTATATTTAATTGATTCATTAAGAAGCTGTTCCGTTCGTCTTAATCTTATTACTTATTCCTTAATCTTATTTTATTCAGATCAGATCAGAAAGATTCAGATCAGATCAGATCAGATCAGAAAGATTCAGATAAGATCAGCAACATTCAGATCAGATCAGAAAGATTCAGACCAGATCAGAAACATTCAGATCAGATCAGAAACATTCAGATCAGATCAGGTCAAAAAATTCAAACATGATTTATCACTTTTATTATTATATTAATTATGATTATTATATTATAGTTATTGTTAATAATATTAATATATTAATATAATAATATTATTAATAATAATATAATAATAATGTTAATAATATAAAATTATTATTATATTATAATAATATAATATAATATAATATAATATAATATAATATAATATAATATAATATAATATAATATAATATAATATAATATAATATAATATAATATAATATAATATAATATAATATAATATAATATAATATAATATAATATAATATAATATAATATAATATAATATAATATAATATAATATAATATAATATAATATAATATAATATAATATAATATAATATAATATAATATAATATAATATAATATAATATAATATAATATAATATATTTATAATTATAATTATAATTATGATTTACAATGTAATTATAATTATAATCATCATTATTATTAATATGATTGTTGTTCTTGTTGTTATTGTTGTAATTATTATTACTTCGGAGTAATTATATATTTAAATTAGTAATTATAGACATAATTATGACTATAGAAATAAATATTATAATTATAGTTACAATAATAATTATAAAATTAATCATAATAAAGAATATAATTACATTTATAATTGTATCTGTATTTATAATTAGTGTAATTGGTATAATTGTTATAATTTTAAATTTAATTTTAATTTTTTTTATAATTATGATTATAATTGTAATTTTATTTAAGTTATATTTTTAATTACAATTATAAATCTAATAATTATAATTGTAATTACAATTACAATTATAGAAATATTCAAATCAGATCAGAAAGATTTAGATCAGAAGAATTCAGATCAGATCAGCAACATTCAGACCAGTTCAGCAACATTCAGATCAGATCAGAAAGATTCAGATCAGATCAGAAAGATTCAGATCAGATCAGAAAGATTCAGATCAGATCAGATCAGATCAGATCAGAAAAATTCAGATCAGATCAGATCAGAACTTAAAAAATTCAGATCAGAAACATTCAGATCAGGTGAACGGAACAACTTCTAAATTGGAGGATATGTACGTAGAATTCCCAATTAAGAACATCGCAAAAGTATAATCATGTATTCATGGTTTAGGGACAATTTGTGCTTTTTTGTTATCAAGTATGTTAATTATCACGATTAGGCTAAGATAAACGATAAATTTAAAACAAGAACACAAGAATTTACGTGGTTCACGCAATCGGAGTGATTACGCTAGTCCACGGCGAACGAGAGAGAGATGTATTATTATTCCAGCGTCTGGTATGTTTACAGATACATTAGAGGTGTTTAAATAGGTTTAAGAAAACCTAAACAAGGATTAGAGCCGCAGGCCCAAAATTAAGCCCGTAATTAAAATTCCCGTATACCCGATCGAGTACAGCCCTTGTACCCGATCGGGTATGTTCTCCAGAACTCTGCCCGAGTAGTGTTTTTACACATACTCGACCGAGTATACCTCCATACTCGATCGAGTATAAACTCCAGAGTATAACTCGAGTAACCCTTACACGCATACTCGACCGAGTAATGACCAATACTCGATCGAGTGTAGAAACCAGAGAAATACTCGACCCATCAACACCTCATACCCGATCGGGTAACCCAACATACCCGGTCGGGTATATACTCTTGCATTCCAAACAAGGCTCCATCTTCAACAAAGTAGTAGTCAGTCAATGCAATCTTCAACGCGATTTTCATATAGGTCATCCACTCATCCGAAAACAGTTTGTTGTTGTTACGTTGTTGTTATTGTTATACCCATGGTTTAGGGATAATGACGGATCCAGAACATTTTTCGAAGAGAGCGCGGATCGACACGGGTCGGATTGGGTTTCAAAGAGAGCACAGATTGACACGGGTCGGATTGACTCGTATTCGGTTAGGTAGTTTCAGAATCAGATCATGTACATTTACTAGTATCTAGGTTGGGGTTTTGAAGGTAGTTTCAGATAGGGCTGGGACCGGTTCGGTTCTTACTCAAAATGAGTGGAACCATTATAAAAGTTTTAACTAATGAAATCAGTTCGGTTCCTATATAAAAAATCAGGAACCGTTATGGAACCGAACCGGTAGTAAACGGTTCGGTTCTTCCTTTTACCGCTTCCTAGAATATTTTTTTCTCGTCTAAGAATCAACACATAATTTTAAACACGTCAAAAATTCAAAACACGAGTATTAAAAATTTATTTGAAGCTTTAATCACTTCAAACATCAAAGCTCAAACTTAACTAATGAACTTTGAACACTTAATAGAACAAAAGTGATTTAAATTTTCATGTAATAAATGAAACATTAAAAATCGTTGTAGTGTCGGAGCGATGAAGGTTACTCGTTATCATAGTAGCAAGAATATGACGCCTACTTCAAGTCTTTCAAAACATTAAAAAAAGACAATGAGTTTGCATGTATAGATATAAAAAAACATTATTACATTCTATTGATTCATAATAAATCTAATAATTAGAAATATTATGAAAGTAGTAAAGTAAAATATGTGCAATCAACTACAAGTTATTTGAGTTATTTTATATTTATAAAATTTATGTGATGGAACAAAACTTGATTTGTAGAAAGGAGTTTAATGTATATATCAACCTCATGTACAATATTTATTACTTCTTTTCTGTTGATTAAATTAGAATTGTTAGTTAAATATCTTATATTGTTTTATTATTGTTGTTGTGGTGGTGGTGGTTATTATTGCTATATTATTATTATTATTATTATTGTTACTACTACTACTACTAATATTATTTTATTTTTTATTTTTTTTAATAACGGTTCCTTAACGGTTCCATGCACATATTTTTTATAGGAACCGGGAACCGAACCATTATAACCCGCTTCGGTTCGGTTCCAACAAATGAGGCATTAATTGTTAACGGTTCGGTTCCTAGATCTTGTTAACGGTTCGGTTCCAAGCGGTTCTACGGTTCCCGGTTCCAAAATCCCACCCCTAGTTTCAGAATCAGATCATGTACATTTACTAGTATCTAGGTTGGGGTTTTGACCATTTGGACAGTTCTAAACACGAGCATTAACCTTTTTTAGAGAAACAAAATCAGGGTTATAAGTCTCTTATATAGTCTCCTATACAAACGTACTAGAACCATATTGTTCTTACCTGAATATATTGAGTGAATTCTATATTCTAACTAGAGTTTCAGATTTTGCTCTTTACAAAGACAAACAATAGAGGGCTAGATTACTATTGTCAAGGGTTAGATTTTATTGTCATTTCACTCTTAAGACTTCTTTCTTATCCAAACCGTTCCTTATATATGTGTGTGTAAACTATATAAATATATGTTGTAAGTTTGTCTTAATTTTTTGAAGCTCTGGCCCCTTTAATTAGGAATTATTTCTAGCTCACCACTGCTTTAGTTATTATGATGGAATTAAGTCCTAATATTGACGAGTTAAAACTTTATTTTAGGCGTTATAACGTTACAACTTACAACCATAAAGCAATATACGTAGTAAAATTTAGATATAATTTTACGTGCTCAAGTTTGATTTATTATGCTTATTGTTAAATTTAGTTAAATGTTTTAACATATATAGGTAGATAAATATGACAGGTTATGTGAAAGAGAGTGAGACATAGTATTATGGAGAACAACAAGAGTTGAATCCTCATACCATGGGAGAAGATTTAACTCGCGTACATCTGGTAAATCGCGCATAAGAAGATGAAAATCGATCGCACACATGAAGATGTAAATCGCGCATATATAAGAAGATGTAACTTCATGTATTATCAAACGTAACTTCAAGAATCATGTATAGATGTAACTCACACACATCAAAATATAGAAAACAAAATGAAAAATATCATTTTTATCAAATGTGTAAATCATACGGAGTAATTTTTTTCCGAAAGGAAAAAGCTTATATTAGAATCAAACGAGCAATACATCATTCAAACCCCAAGACCCAATTCTCTCGCTAACCCAACAATACCAAAAGCCCATCGCCCCTCTCAAGCATGTTCAGACATAAAATAGTCCAACCCATGAAGAGCGGGACTAATCGCTGAAACGGTGAGAGCAAAGAGGCTATTAGCGGTTGTGACAGCCTGATTGCCTCCACCAAGAAGAAACCTAATCAAAACACAACGACCCACAAAACCCACACCCTTATTGTAAGTAATGATAAATGAAAAAACCGAAAATTGAATCCTGACGAAAAGAAAAATAACAGCAAAAGTAAACATCCACGTGATGGAGTTTGAAAGCTTCCATCCTTTCTGCTTCCTCCAATGCATCTCTTATTTGCCTGACAGGCGGGCGTCGTATCCCGCCTCCTCCCCGTTTTTTGGTGTGCCCGTCTCTACTTCCATATCCTCCTGCGATGCCTTCTGTTCCCCACGATCCACCCGCCTACGCTCCAGTTCCACCTTATCTCCTATATGAGTATGATCTTTCCTCTGTTGCGGCCTTTCTTGTGCCTCCAAGCTTACCATCCCTATTCCCCCCTCTTCTTCTTTCCCCTTCCCTTTACCAACTGGGACGAGCCATTTGTTACCCCTTATAGCTGTGTTACCTTTAGAAGCTCTCAGCTCGGGTCCAAACAGAAACCCTCCACTCCTGCCTTTGCCATCGGGATAATGCGGGCAAAACCTTTCTGCATGATCGGCCGATAATTCCACATGCAAAACATAAACTAGACAATTTTTCATACCTAAATTTTACACAAAAATTTCCCCTTTCATTCGATTGAAGAAACAGTTTCCTTTTCAGAGGCATGTTCAAATCAATACTAACCCTTAATCTCATGTAAGGGTTCCATTCAAGAGAGAAATTACACTCATCCACCTTGATAAAACTTCCCACAAAATTCCAAATTTTTATAGCATTTTTCACAGAAAAATATTCCATTGGTACATCATGATGAACCTGTAGCCAGAAGTCAGCCTTATTCAGCGGAACCTTCAACGGCAGATCTCCTTGCTTTAACTTAGCAAGAACAATGAGATTCTGATCAAAAGTCCATGGTCCTTCATCCAAAACACGTTTCATATCACTCTCACTGTAAAACTGAAACATATATATGCGTGCACCTATCTCATTTATAGTAACACCTCTAACAGGTTTCCACACATTAGCCATAGTATCCCAAAAGAAAGAAAAACATATCGACTTTTCAGAAGTAATTGTCCCAACCAAGGTCAACCATGCCTCCTCGATCCCTGGAGCCTTAGCCTCCACATGTAGAAATTCATCTCCTTCCTCCATCTCCAATTTGCCATACGCGTTTGCCAATTTCTCCATATGCGTTCATGTCCGTCATTGTCCTCTCTGGCCCTTCGTCCGTACGTCGTCTGCTTTTTCTTGTGAAGTAAACCAACGTCGAGCACTAAAATCTCCAAAAACAGAGCTCCACCAATAGCCTGGTTGAGAAACCTTGCGCTCTTGGAGAAGCCTTCTCGCCTAACCCTGCTACGTAAATAAAACGCCGAGCGATTTGGAGAATCGCCGGCCCCAACCCTAAATGCAGACCCTATTTGCGGCGCTGTCCTTCATCGGTTTGTTCAATACATTTCATTTTCAAATGTTAATCATAATAATCAACCTCAATGCCTTAAAACCCCACTAAAAACATAAAAGAGATAAAAAAAGTACTACCTACACCCCAAAATGAAGTTCTCATCACTGTTTACTTGGTCAACTTAAATCTTCTTTATCATTTACTTTATATATCACATTTTATCAAATTTGAATTTTCTTTTTGCGACTGTGGAATTTTTAATGTGGTTTCTGAATACGTAATTTTTTTACTAAAAAAGAATCCGAGTGTTAATGGGGATCAATTTGCTTTATACTCGGTCAACCATCGTAAAGCAAAACAAAAATTTCTTTGTTGGACGGAGGGAGTGTTATATAAAAAAGTCTAAGAATATGAAAATCCCAAAAATATATTTCAAAAAAAGTATGAATGTAATTAAAAAATATTATAGAAAAAATAGGGTATGGATGTGAAATGCAAATACTTATTTTATTAAGATTAATGATTTTTTTGTCCTAAATCGATAAAGAACAAAAATAGATTGAGTTGCAATTTAAGGATGTTTTTACTTGGACTGTAATTTGCTGGTCTGGTCTGGTCTGATCTGGTCTGGTCTGGTCTGAACTGGTCTGGTCTGGTAAGGTCTGGTTTCTTTGTATTTTTATAACTATCCAAGTCTGGTCTGGTCTGGTCTGAACTGGTCTGGTCTGGTATGGTCTGGGACAAATTAAAGTCCAAGTAAAAACATCCTAAGTTGAAAATAAAGAAAATTAAAATTGCAAATAAATTTTTAATGTTTTGATGGAGAAGGAGAAACGAATTGAATAAAAAGAAGTCAAAGAATCTGCTAAGAGAGTTGATCCCAAAGCTCAGGCTGCAAAGGTTGCCAAAGCTGTGAAAGGCACTACCTTCAAGAGGAAAGGTAAGAAGATCCGCACAAAGGTCACATTCCACAGGCCCAGGACATTGAAGAAGGAAAGAAACCCTAAATATCCTCGCATCAGTGCTCCTCCTAGGAACAAGTTGGACCACTTCCAAATTCTCAAGTATCCATTGACCACTGAGTCCGCCATGAAAAAGATTGAGGATAACAACACATTGGTCTTCATTGTTGATATCCGGGCTGACAAAAAGAAGATTAAGAATGCTGTCAATAAGATGTATGGGATCATGACTAAGAAAGTGAACACTCTAATCAGGCCAGATGGAACTAAGAAGGCATATGTTCGGTTGACTCCAGATTCTGATGCCCTGGATGTTGCGAACAAGATCGGGATCATCTGAGCATAATGTTATGTTTTATTGTCTAGATACTATATTTACAATTTTCAATTACTACTGCTCAGAGATTCTTGTGATTGTGTTTAAGTAGAGTTTAAATCAGTTCCTAATTTTATGAACTATACACTAATCTGATATAAATCTCGAATTCTAGTTTAAAAAAAAAAAAGGATGCACTGCAGGAGAGAAAAGAGAGAGTACAAATAACGTAGTACTTTATACGATGTAGTTGAATCGGTATACCAAATGTGACGATTTCACGATATAATTTACAAAAAGAATTGAGTATCTTATTAATAAAATTCTGGATAATAAAATGTAGGGGTGGGCATAAAACCCGAACCGAACCGGTACCGAGCCGTCCCGTAATGGTACCGAACCCGAATACCGGGTATTTAAACGGTTCTATAGATTTTTGTCCCGTACTGAAACCGAACCGTTTGAAACGGGTACAGGACCGGTTCTATATTTTGAGAACCGAAAAATGCCGGACCGAACAATTCGAAAATAATGCATTTAAATTTTTTATAATTTTTCTATACCAACAGATCTCTATTATAGACACACAATTTTAATTTATAGCCCAAGTATGTATTCATGCGTTCCAAACTAGCTAAGTGTGTGTGTTTATATATATATTGTTATTGTTTTTATTTTAGATAATTTATGTTATATTTTGATATGTATTCAAAGAATATTAAAATTTTAGAAATCATTAAGGACTATTCATTTCTAGTAATGTAGTGTACATGACTTTTTGTGATATCATGTTTGCGCAATTTTACAACTTAATTAATATGGTTTAAATCTTAGCTCTCAATATTGAACTATAAATTAAATTAGAACTATGGAGTAATATTTAACCTAGAACGAAGAAGAACATTAAAAATTTCTATTATATTCAACAATTTGATGATATTCTTTTTTATATTTTCACATGAACTTAGTAAATTAAAGATGACATTTATCTCGTACATCATCGTTTTGCTATACTTTTTCTTAGTTGTGTTGCACTGTTTGTGTATTTGTGAATTTTAGTACTACATATGCAATTTCTTGTATTTATATCAACATTTTATGTGAGTTGGTTGGTGTGAAGATATCTACTAATTGCAAGATTTGTTCAAATTTTTAGCATGTATTTGGCATTGTACCGTACCGTTTTGTACCGTTCCGAAACGACATGGTACTGAACGGTTCCATTCTTGAAACCGGACCGGACTGGACCGTTAAAAACCTAATGGATACATTACAGGTTTTACTAGTTTACCGGACCGTTCCGGACCGCGCCCACCCCTAATAAAATGCAAGAAAGAGATGATCAGATAGGACTAGAAAGAAGAAAATTTGGACTTGCATAGGGGTCGGTGAGCTGGTCATCTGTTCATTGTCCTTTTATCACTTTACCTAATCTCAAAGGCTTGAATTGATTATCATTAAATATACAGAGTATAGAGTAAGATCTATACATTTTAAAGTTAATACACTTAAAAAGTTAACAGCATGAGAGAGAGTTGAGTTGACGAGTTTTATATAATAATATGAAATAATTACAAAAAAAATAAAGATGATTTACAAAAATATGACTAGTTACTAGAGTAGTAATGAAATCATAGCATAGTAATTCATGTTCAAGTTTTGAACTTAAGTTACCGCAACACTACGTTGTAGTAACGAATAGTCATATTGATGTAAATAAGTTTTATTTTAGTAATATTCTTGTAAAAAACTCAAATAATATACAGAATATTATTAAAATAAAACTTATTTACATTCATTACTACAACGTAGTGCTGTGGTAACTTAAGTTCAAAACTTGAACATGAATTACTATGATTTCATCGCTACTCTAGTAACTAGTCATATGTTTGTAAATCATCTTTATTTTGGTCGTATTTATGTAATTACCTTTTATGAATGTTTCAAAAAAAAGTCCTCATTTCAACAAAAAGAAAATTACTTTAAGCAAAAAGTCAGAATTACCCTTACATTTTATCTACTATTTGCTTGATTTGACAAAATAAAACTTTATCATACATAAATATGTGTGTAGGTCAAATAGGGAACTTCATTTCGGGATGGAGGGAGTAATACGTAGTATAATATATAATGCGTATTTACATTTAAAACATTGTCATTCCACGCTTATAAAATATAGAGAGAAATAATATAAATACGCCAAACTTGGAGTGAGAGATAAGTACACCAAACTTGTAGATGTAATATACATACTCCAAACTTTATATAAAAAGTTATTTTTTCGCGATGACATTATATTTTTTCTTTCTTAAATATAAATTTATTGTGATAAGTACATAATTTAAAATACACCAAGTTTGTATTAGGATGCAATTGACATTTTAAAGCTCCATTTGTGAAATAAATTATAAATAATACGTAGTACTACATTCAGTTCAATCTAATGCTAGTTACATCCTCTTAATTAAATGTTTTGCGTATTTTAAATTATATACTAAAGACCACAAATTTACATTTTTTAAAGAAAAACATATGATAATGGTACTGACATATCTTTTTATATAAAGTTTAGGGGTTTATATATTACACGTGCAAGTTTATGATACTTGCTCTACACTTCTTCAAAGTTTGAGATATTTGAATTATTTCTCCCTAAAATATATGATCAAGTTATCTATATGTAATTTGGGCGGTTAATGAACCAAACTTTTTTCAAATTGTTCGAACTCTAATACTTCCTCCATTCTTTTTTTGTTGCAACATTCTCATGTTCACATTTGCCAACGCATAATTTTGACCATCGTCATATTTAATTTAATGTTAGTAAAAAATATTTAAATATCGGATTAGGAAAATTTGTAATAAGATGAATTCAACAATATTATCCAAAAAAATAATTTTCACGCATTAATAAATAAAATGCAGTCAAAATAGAATATGTGAATAGCGTAAAATTTTCAATGTTAATATAAATTTCGAACTAGAATACAAACTCAGTTCGAAGTTTGAATAGATTTTCATCCCAGCCCAGACAAACTATATATATATATGGAGTGGGAAAAATAGCACATTTAGTTCATGAAATAGTCAACATATTGAAATGTCAGACCCATGTTTCCGATATTGTAAATGTCACCCTTGAGTTGTCCAAATTGGTGTAAATGTGTTCCTCGCCCACTTTGGACCACATTTACACAAATTTGGACAATTGAGGGGTGACATTTACAAACTCGAAAATACGGATCTTATATTTCAATATCGTTAAATTGGAGTGGAATCGCTAACGAATCAAATACTTATACTCCCTCAGTCTCGTTACATTTTTCTCATCTTTCCTTTTCGATCTGTTACACTAAGATTATCTCATACTAAATTGGATAAAGTTTTTGTGTTTCTAGATTATTCTTACTTCATTCTTAGTTTATCAATTTAATATCAACCACATCAATTCCATTTTCAATCTCATCATGCTTATATCCCAATGTTTATATGTCGAATGTAGTATAATAATTCGTGCACGATCCAATTAAAGAGTTTAAGTTGTAACACGGTTCCCGAAATTACCAGTAATTTGAATTCTTTAATATATGCAAATATTCCATAGACTAATCATATTAATTAATTCGTTGTCATTTGAACGGTCTAATAAAAACAAGCTAATACGTACTCTCTTCGTCCGAGGTTCCCATAACAATATAACACGATCAATTAGACAATAATTAAATAATGTAATTTATAATATATTTTGAGGAATATATTTTATTGATATAATATAATGAGATCATTGATGAAAATTGAGATATTATAGATGCATTATTTTTAATATCTGGTGATTAAATTATCATTTAAGAGTGTTATTTATTTCTTAAAATAGAAATGATAACTTTTGGTTAGGATATCTAATAAAGAAAAATGAGAACCTTCAGCTGAGATAAAGGGAGCACATTGTTTTTGGCTTTTTGCGTAAACGACTTCTATTTGAAGTCTCTCAAAAATGGTACTTTTTCCTCTCCAATTCAAGGAAAAATGCAGTATATCTATTTTTTTTTTTGCAAATGCAGTATAACTAGAATTCATTTCATAACCTATTTTCCGTTTCCTTTATTGATCATTTTTTACCGTACCCAGCTCCCAATTTTAGATTTTACGCACCAAATGATACAATAATTAAAATAAGGGAAAATTGCATTTTGGTCCCTTAATTAGTCACCATATTGAAATGTTGGAATCGTGTTTTTGAAATTGTAAATGTCACCTGAATTGATATATGTGTTGTAAATGTCATCACCGTTGAATTTATTGGTAGTCTTGAATCGGAGATGGATTATAAACGGTGGGGATGACATTTAAATTTTAGGAAAAATTGATAGTAATAATCCCAACTATTGACGGTCCGCCTATAATAATCTCAACTATCGATTATTTCAGAATAATCCTAACTTTAGGGACCTTCCGCCAATAATGGTCCCTATTAATAAATTGTTATAGTTTCTAAAGTGGATGAGAAGAAATATAACAAGTAATCCCTATAAATAATCCCAACTTTTAATTTTTACACTTAATTTCTATTTAAAATTCACTTTTTATAGAAGGTAATATTTGGTCATGGACCATTATTGGCGGATGGTCCATATAGTTGGGATTATACAAAAATAATCAATAGTTGAGATTATTATCGGCGGGCTGGCAATAGTTGGGATTATTATTTTCAATTGTTCCTAAATTTTAAAACACATTTGTCAATTGGAGGGTGACATTTACAATTTCAAGAACACGTGTCTTTCATTTAAATATGGTGACTAATTGAGATAACAAAAGTACGATTTTCCCTAAAAATTACTGAATATGACTATTTTTGCTATTTTCGCATAGTTTTGTAATATTTTTTTTTTAAAATGTATTTTAAAATATACTTTTTCACAGTTCAAGCAACTCTACCAATTCAATTTTACAATTAGAATTTCACCAATTTCAACAAATACGGTTAATTTCTCTATGGCCAAATGGGCTCTTCATGGAATTGAAGAACGACGATGAGTTTCACGCACTCTAAGCCACGCCCATGCGTTGGTCCCCGGATTACATTTCCTGAAGTGTAGCACCACATTGCTCTTAAGGAGATGAAAACAAATCAATAATGATTTTAAAAGGTATATGATCATATTGTAATTGTAATAACATATATTCATG